AGAGCTGACCATTTTTCCTCCGTTATCAACTGTTCTCTGCCTAATGGGCCCCCAGTCCACCCCAGATTTTGGAAGAAGATCACAATCAGTGTATTATGGTGTGTTTAAGATGGCGTACTACGGGCTGGGGATGTGTGGGTGGTCCGGGGAGTGGGTGCATGAGGTGGGTGTGGACAGGCCAAGCTGGGAAGAGGACTTTATCTCTGGCATTGTGTAGAATGGGTGGCCAGCTTGACTATTGTTCTGCAGCTCTCTACAGAGCACATACCACTGTCACCTCACAGGGCCCACGGCTCCACCGCTCGCCCCTACACCACCCCCCTGACACAACAAGGTCTGAGATGCAATGGCATGTTTTAGGTGATGGCACTGGGGCTCAGTCTGAACCCTTGTCCGGATGGGAGTTGGCTCTGATGATAAAAGTGACACATGGACACACACAACTCACACATAGCAGAGCCTTACTATTTTAAGAATGTACTTTATACAAAATAACCAGTTCATATGGAAATAAATCTACAGACCTCCGAAGATCAAAAAGCTTTTTAAAAAGTTCTTTTAAAAAATTATCCAACACACAATATTGAACTAACTATTGAGGTAAGTGTCGCTCTCAGTGAAACAGGGAATCAGCAGACCACGACAAAATATACACAATATAAAAATAAATAGCATTCCCCTTCCAGTACTGGCCAGGAAAGTTCACACGGCTTTTGCAGAAGAAGCAAGATTCCCTGACACTGTGTGCTGCGGGCTGGGGGAGCCTGGCCTCGGCCCCAGGAGCCATGTGCAAGTCGGAAGAGCGAGGCACCCGAGCCGCCCAGCTGGGGAAAAGCAGGGGTCATACAGAGGACACTGAATGGGGTCAGCATTTCAGTAACTTACTGGATATCCATACCCCTGTTCCCAACCCCACCCCCCCTTTCCAAACACACGCAGGACAATCAGCTGGGTATCAGGCATGTCTACATCGACCTTCAGGGAGTCCCTGTGCAGAATGAGAGAGAGAGAGAGAGAGACCACCCAGGGAGACAGGCCCCCGAAATGTCTGTTTAGCAAAGGCCTACAAAGCACAGAGAGGGATACATACCGAGCCTGGAGACAGAGCTCATGTCACCGTTCCACATGAGAGAAGGGGCGCAGAAATGTTCTGTCTGCCCAAAAGGAAAGCAGGCAAGCTCGGCGTCCTCAGGCCACATGGTACAGAGTCCAGCCGCCAAAAAGGAAAAGGGGGCCTGGTTTCCTACACAGCAAGTCTCAGCCACATTCTTAGCTCCTGGACAGTGACATGAGCCCAGGAATAAAAGCCTCTGTGTGCTCAACCCAAACCCCAAGTATCTGCACTGAAATGTGGAACAGAGAGCTATCTGCAGGGACCCTGTACCCCAGGGACCCCCAGGGCTGACCAGTCCTCAAGACACGCACACACACGCACAC